AATTTGGAGGACCTTTTCCTTATATGATGTAGGCATCCGATAAGAAAGGATTTTTCGAAATTCATTCTTTTGGACACATATTAGTGTTTTCTTTTGATTTCATAAAGGAAATGTCAAAATTGAAATTTTGATTCAAAATCCTAAGATGCATTATTTTATATTTAAAATATTTTTGGAATAGAAAGACAACATTTTTATTTATTGGAATAAATTAATTATGTATTAATAATTAAAATCAGTTAGTTCTCAAAATCTTGTCAACGTTTCAACGCTTTAACTGTAAATTACACCTTGTTGTAGTTAATGAAACTCTCATTAATGACCGATTAAAAATTTATTTATTATCGTTCTACGTTTTATGTGCTCTAAATGTTCGATATTTATACCTCTGTCCGACACTGTCTTTCTAATATATTCGCTAAGCCTTCTTATAATAATAAACATCATACATCAAAATCCCTAGAGTTTTTTCGTGATGCGATCACAGACAGACAGATAGAAACAGGCCACTAATTTTAATGGATGGTATATAGATCTTTGAAAAGTTAAAAAAAATGTATAATTAGGCCAGAGCAGTCTGCTAGTAATATGCTCTTCTATACTTATTATAAAAATAAGTCCCCCGGCCGCGTCTTTCTGTCCTCCTGTCTGTCCTCCTGTCTGTCTGTACGCGATAAACTCGAAAACTACTGAACGGATTTTTATACGGTTTTCAACAATAGAAAGAGTAATTCTTGAGGAAGGTTTAGGTATATAATTTATTATGCTTTTATGTAAATTAGCTGAAATACGGCGACAAATGTTGAAGAGGTCGCAAAAAATCTCGCCAAATGGGAACTTTCCACGCGAACGCCGCGTAAACTAGCAAAGATACAGTTAAGTAATGTACTAGAGAATTCAAAATCTATAAAAATGCTACAAAAAAGTCCGCGATAGCATATCTCTATCTCTTACGGTTGACTTACAATAACCACTTTTATGTTAACATTTTTAATTAAAAACATTACGTTATTTTCAAAGTTATTTTCTTTAGTTCGGTATTAATCCTTATCCAAATGAATATTTTAGTTAGCTTAGTCATTTAATGCAGATTAAAATTGCTCTTTACACTAAATCAATCAGATGAATAGTTTTTGAGATATCGTTGTTAGAAGTAATTAGTAGCGAAACATTTTTAATGCTTGGCGAGCATTGAGATGCCTACGGCGAGTCCATCCCCTCTGCCCCGCATCGCTCGACCGCCTGCTCAAGCTATATAAACCGGGCGATGTAGCGCGCGATCCTAGGATACTTTTTACCGCGGGAAAATATCTTATTTCTGAGGAAAAATACAAAAACTGCAATGTAAGAGTATACTAATATGTAACACCTAAGAATTTAGTTTTTGGTCATCTGAACGCGGGCGGAGCCGCGGGCAATGCTAGTTTAAATATAAATCCGTTCTCTTTTAACGTCGTAAAATCATGTGTCATATTATCGTTATGTCTATAACGAATAATGAACGGGGCATTCAAATTTTAATGTATTTCGAGCATCAATTCAGCTATGTAGACAACCTAATCCGATATGTAATTGCATTTGAATAAAATTATTGAAACTTGTTTATTAAGGCTTTTCAATGTATATTCAACGGACAGATTTCGATAAGATATTTTTTATATAAGATATTATTTATTTTATTTAAGCTAATACTTTCACAAGAAATTATTAAATAGCTAGTTTTATTTCCGTCAAGGCTTACAAAATGTACTATGGTAGGAGCTTATACCATTCTCCAAATAAACGATTACCCCAAAGCTCGTGCTCCGCCGTACGCGCAATATAGGTATATACCTAAAAGAAGTAAAAAATTTTGTCTTCTCGTATTAATATATCTATTATCTATTCATATAACAAAATTCTGAGTTGAATCCGTACATTATTTTTTTTTTGGAAAATCTAAAAATATATATAAGTATAGTCATTATTATCAATACAGAGCTTGAATTTATAGTTTTTAGAATTTTCGTCTGTCTGTCTGTGTCTGCCTGTAACCGCATCGCGAGAAAACCGCTGAACAGATTTTGATGAAATTTGGTATGATGATAGCTGGTTGTCGGGATCAACATACAGGATACTTTTTACTGTGGGAAAATAACTTATCTCTGAGAAATCTATACTACACGTTAAAACGTATTAATATAAATACTAGTGTTCCCTCAGTGCTTAAAATACGACCATAATCATTACCAAAATTTGAGGAAAACTTATAAAAATAATCTCGTCAATAGCTATTAAATAAAAAAATGGTTGACAAATAGAGGAGAAAAAGGTACTCAACTGTTCTTTCTCTTATATATATATAATATAGATTTTCAGACATATGTTAACACTGAGTTACAATGAGTTGATTGACATTTCCGATACGTTTTACGGGAGACTACGGCCGCTACTCTTATTGAGTCATAAAAATTATTATCGAATTCATAAAAAAAACGTGTATGTGTACTTATGTACGCACGTTAGAAGTTATACTTCTTTGGCGTAACAGAACAAAAATAGCTAAAGATTTCATCCCGTATGTCACAACTCTCTGTTTGTAAAAGGAATGCAGCTAACTTCATCGTGTCGCGTTTTGGCTGTCGGTGCGCGCGTGCATCGTAAAGATTTTACTCTCATATGTTTTTCAAAAAGGGCCAAAATAAATAATAATAATAACTTCAAAAAATATAGGTATAACTTTAAAAATTATAATTTGGGGTGGATTTTTTTGTGATTCGAGTTTTCATAATTCTATGTTTAATGAATAGGTTGTATATCTAAAAGTTAGTTCACATAAATTAAAAAAAGAAACAAATCGGATTATTTCGTGGATATATTTTATTTTTGGTTCCCGACTTTTCGAATGCTTTACAGCGCACATGGTCACGGTAGAAGAGACTAAGGTTTTTGAAGTCACAAATGTGCATTCATCTATACATATAATAAAATTGTAACTAAGTCGAATCTGTACATTAAATATTTTTTGGAAAATCTTATTGAAATAGACATTATTATCGATACAGAGTCCGAACCTATAGTTTATAGAATTTTTGTCTGTCTGTCTGTCTGTTACCGCATCACGAGAAAACCACTGGACAGATTTTGATGAAATTTGGTATGATGATAGCTGTTTATCCGGGTCAACATATAGGATACTTTTTACCGCGATAAAATATCTCATTTCTGAGAAAAAAAACAAAACTACAATGTATGAGTATACTAATATGTAAAACCTAAGAATTTGGTTTTTGGTCATCTGAACGCGGGCGGAGCCGCGGGCAATGCTAGTTACTTATATAGTTGTTACAGACATTACTGTCTATAACAACTGTATGACCGATATGAAACGTCCGGAACCAAAAAGAAAAGTAAATCCCCAAAAAAACCGAAAAGCCAGTTTTATATAAAATATCAATTAATAATAATAAACATTATTTAATTTAAAATTCGGTTCGTCATTTTTAATAACAAGAAGGTTATATTTATAGCAAAACTATTGTGTAGTATGAAACCATTGGAGCGGGTTTCCGATTCGAATTTCGCAAAATTTTTAATTTAAATGCAATTTTTATTAGCAAATACGATTTGTATGTTATTTTCTTAATTACCGAAGCAAGTCTGATGAGCGTAAAAGGTGAAAGTGAACCGATAAAGGCATGAAATAATAATGTTATAAAATATTATATTATACTACTAATAAGTAAGTGTATTTGTCACGTAATCCTATATCTCGTATAACTAAATATAATTTGAAAGCACAATACCACTCACTGATTCATCACGAAATGTTCCACGAAAACATTCGAAAAAATAATTTTATTTAACACGAAATCGAAAATATAAATGCTGTTATAAGCTTGAAAGTTGGCATGTAGGTTCCTGGTTTAAAGTAAGGTACCTACTAAGACAGAATGTTTGAAAATTGAACCCCTAAAGGATTGGAAGAAAGGGGTTGGAAGTTTTTATAAAATGTTATATTTAAATTATACTACGTTAATAATTATACTATAGTTACGTTTGATTTTTTTAGCGGGAACCTAATTCTTTTTCTAAAATAAAAGTAGCCTAAGTTGCTCCTTATAATATCAGCTATCTGCCAGTGAAGGTCTCGTCAAAATCGGTCCAGCCGTTAGGGGTTTAGCCGGAAAAAACAAACAGACAAACAAAAATTTTAAAAATTGTGTTTTTCTAAGTACCATACCTACATAATTTCATATGCATTTAGTAAAAAGTGTTTACATTTCAACTTTATTTATATGTATAGATTGACCAAAATTTAAGTAAGTACATCTTCGAGGGATGAAAAATAGGGGATGATATTTAAAAAAATGTGGACATTAAAAAAACCATAGAAGTTAACAATACTTTTACTATTCTGTCCTGTGTTCTATATCTGTGTGGGCATGCATTATGTTACAGCTGTCAGATTTTAATACATATATATATTTTTTTTCTAAATAGGCACGGAAGTTGCTAAATATTCTAATATTAAAAATCGTGTACAAATATTGTACTCGTTACAGCATTTATTTCGAAATTCTTATACTTTCAAAGTTTAATTTAATACTCGAATTAAATTAATACATTATGTAATATATAAAGCTAAAGAATTTGTTTGTTTGTTTGAACGAGCTAATCTTTCTAACCACCGGTAATAGTAAAATAATGTCACTATTATTATAAAATAATTATATTTTTACTGTCTGAGATTTCAAAATACCCTATTATTATTAATATTAAACACAATAATTGTAAGTGTTACTTTTACTTATAAACGACAAAGTCCCAAAGCTATTTCTTTTTAGTTTTTTACTAAGTATAACTTAAGTAAAATTCTTGCAAGTGAAGCTACAAACAGTAACTAGTCTCTTATATTTTACTTTCACATACAATACAAACAAACATAACAGAACAAGTAGGTAAATATTATATATGTATGTATAGTGTGGGCTTACGTCAGTAATTACGAAAGAGCTCACCTGTAGACGTCGGCACGTACTTCTCCAACAACTCTCCAACACTGACTGACTATTATTTTATGTAATACTTATTGAGAATTATAATAACGTTCTCTTTACATATCACGATTACGATACGATTTTTAATTAAATTTTACGATTTCTATTGTAATTTTTCCTGATCTATCTTTTGTGTAAGGAAAAGAAAGGGCTGTGCTTCAAGTAAGTAGTAACCTTTTTGCCCTTTTGACCTCAATAAAGTCAGCTCACAGCATTTTAATTTTTTTTACAGAAAGCGGAAACATCACTGCAGAATAGAATTTGCTAGGTGTATTAAAGACAATCTAACTAAAGAGGTGCTGACTTCAAAATCTTTTTACTTAATAATATAGAATTGGTACACATTTGTGCAGCTTGTTATATACACACGAAAAATGCATGCCGCATCTTTTCTATCTCTAGAATTTAGACAGAAGAATGGATCGAGCTAGTGCATTATTAGTTTACGAGTCACAGTGAATTCTGAGAAGAATTAAAAGAAAATTTTGAAATATTTTTGTATACTTATATACCTATTAAGTAACATTGTGATGTTACTTAATAGGTATATAAGTATACAAAAATATTTCAAAATTTTCATATAATATTTGTAACATCAATTTATAATCAACTAGCTAAATATCCTCGTTCCGCTCTGGCGTACCTCTAATTCTATATTTCATTCAGATCCATTCAACAGTTTCAGCGAAAAGCAATAACGAACATACATGTACAAACTTTCGCATTTATATCTCTTAGTAGTCCATTGATCAAAGAAGTACTAGATACACAACCAGCGACAAAAATGTCCTCACCGAATGAGCGCTTGTTTGAACATTTGAGCGCGCTTTTAATTTTTTGTGTGAAAACAACTTTAAACATTGTTTTTAAGGATCAATTTACATTGTTGTATATTTATTTCAACTAGAATTATTACCTAAATACAATTGGTGACAGTTTTAAGAGAAGTTTTGCATGGAATTGTGTATCTAGTAGGTACTTTTTTGATCGATGTAGTGTCCGCTTATTCATTGAACATGTACCTAAACCTATGGTGTAAATGTCTTTACAATGCACTCAACTTCTACAAGATATTATAAGATTTTATTTATCACTGTAAATGATCTTGTAAACATTATCTGAAAGTTATTGCAAAAAATAACATTATTTAGAATGAAATATTTTTTAACATATACCTATATAGTAATAGTTATTGCCAGTAATAGTGATGTAGTGGCTAGCATGTACGGCTGCACACCCGGAGGTCCTGGGTTCGAGTCCCGGGTCGGGCCAAGTTTAGTTATTGATTCTTACTGTATAGTAAGCCTCAGTAACAGCCTGGAGTTGGGAAGTTGGCGGTGTTTCACCCCCGTGCCTCAGAGAGCACGTAAAGCCGTCGGTCCTGCGCCTTAACTCACCGGTCGTGTCAAGTGGTCGTCCCACCGGAGTATGAGAGTGACAGAAATAGAGAGTGCACTTGTGTCTGCGCTCTCCCTCACACGCGCTGCACTATAATATCTCCTGCGCAGTCGGCTAGTCTCAATGAGATTGGCCGCCGTGGTCGGAATCGGTCAGGAGGACATCATCAATAATTGCTTATTACTAAAGTTTGCCAAGTGGTTGAAATTCGAAAATATTAATGTTGAAAATTTGAGGAAAACAATAATATATTAATAGAATTTACCTATCTATCTATATAAAAAAACATCTAAAATGTTTTTATTGATAATTATTCGTCAACTGCTACTAAATAAAAAAAAAACAGTTGACAAACAGAGAAGAACTTAGGTCTTAGAGTATACATAATATGCCATGTATACTCTGCTTATGTATATTCTAAGGAGAAGAATAAGAAAATAATTTACAAAATAAAAATCCGACTGCGTAAGAAGTGAACTCGTTTTGTTTTTTGTAAATTATTTTTTGTTCAAAGCTAAATATGTAAAATAAATATGTTAAAGGCTTTATGCATATTCTTAATTTTTTTGTTTCTTAACAATAATCTGGATATTTTTTAATTCTCGTTTGTTGTTTTATGTCGCGTGTTAGCTACGTGTGTGTGTCTCACAAATAGAAGAGTAAAACAGAATTTCTTTTTATTAGATTAATAATGGTTTTCGCTTCCACCGAGCGATGCTCGGAGACATATATGTACATTGTACATATCCTATTTACATAAGTAGCTATATCAGCAATCAAAATATTTGCAAGCATAATGAACAAGTCAATGGAATGATGTCATGATACGATATAGTCACGGGTTTGATTTCCGCATCGAGCAAATTTGTATTACTTAATCATGTAAAATATGTCTTAGTCTGGTAAAAAAACTTTAATAAACTTTCTTTGAGTCTTTCCCTAAATTTACTTTTTGTTGGGAATTTCTCCGGTACAAAAAATGAAGCCCTTCAACAAACAGACAAACGTAAACTCAGATTTTAGTTGTCTAAAATCAGTCAGTTCTAAAAATAGCAAGTTTTGAGGAGTGGCAAAGTATATTGCGTCAGTTTGCGATTTCAACATTGAGGAGCGGATAATATCTACTAACCCATCGTTATCTTTCGAAAGCTGAATACCATAATATATGAAAAAAATCTGTATATATTGTACTGGACGTTTAATTCATGTATTTATAATATCCAAGCCATCCGTTGTGCCAAGCCTTATGAAATTATTCACTAATACCTATATATTGATCGTCAATAATCGAAAATTATGGGTATTTCATGGGATCAATATTTGATGTATGAGTCATGTTTGGCTACGAAGAAATCCTATAAGGATTCCTTTTACTCTTTCAGATAAGGAACCCTAAAAAGCCCTGACGGCAGGCCTACCGAAGCAGACCACAGCAACCATGGGGTTGCTCCAACAGTCCACTCTGCTATTAGAGAAGTGCCAGGAGCAACCCACGTGGTACATCGCCCACCGAATTGGGCCACCTGTTTATGCAGCCCTTTTTAACGCCCCATAGCTGGCCCGCTGGGCACGGGCCTCCAATCAATGCCAGGGGAATAGGCCGTAGTCCACCAGAGAAAATATCTGAGGTGCGAGACCCGGGATTTGAACTCGCTTCACTCGGTTTCCCAAGCGAGCACGTTTACACTGGGCTACCGCTTACCATTAAGTATAATAATAAAATTGTGGTCTATGAACTCATATGATTTTTTCTATAAAATAAAACAATCGCCCGGTCATTGACGCTTTCTGTAAATTAAAATATTTATTCAGTCTGTTATGTATTTAAGAAACCATAAAACATACAAAACTGGTTAAGTATAAATAAATACAAGCTAGTTTGTCGTTTGCTAGTGTTTTATTTACTGTTAGCGATTTACCCACACTTCGCTCGAATGCGATCCCTACGTACAATTTTGCTCACAATTTCATGGGGTTTAATCTTTTGCACGGAACCCTGATTCTTTTTTTAAAATAAAAGTAGGCCAAGTTAATCCTTATAAGATCAGCTATCTGTCAGTGAAAGTCCCTTCGAAATTAGTCCAGCCGTTTCGAAGACACGGGAACAAACAGACAGACAACAATTTTAGAATAGGTTTTTTTTTCTTATTAATACCGTATGTATTTTCATGTGCATTTAGTAAAAAGCTGTTATTTTGATATTACAAACAGACTTACCTTCTTAAGGGGCATCCATTAATTACGTGAGACAATTTTGTGAAAAAATTGTGTATTCTCTTATAAATTCCATAATATGCATTTACCTAGTAAAAAGCTTTTATTTTGACATTACAAACAGACACTTCATTTTTATTTATTTGTATAGATTAACTAATATTTATTGAATGATAAGAAATATTTGTTCATATTTAATAAATGAATAAATTGCTTCCAAAAAATGAATACGTACGCCATGATTTGGCCATATTTCAGTGGAGAAACATTTTTTAAATTAACCCAGTCTGCACTCAATTTTACAATATTTCTTGCGAAACTCCCCCTTCTTCTATCTTTTGATTCGGAAAATTGAACCAGTGCTTGTTTGATATCTTTTTTATTTTTGAATATTTTGCCCTGCAAAAAATTTTGTAAGGACAAAAACAAGTGATAGTCGGAGGGTGCTAAGTCCGGGGAATATGGTGGACCCAACAGAATTTCCCAGCTTAGTTCTGTAACTTTTTGACGAGACCCCAAAGTAGCATGTGGTCTGGTATTATCATGGTGCAGTATGAATGTCCTTCCTGTCGAACATCGCCGGCCTCTTTTCTTGGACTGCTGTCTTTAAATTATTCAATTGTGGACAATATTTTTCCGAAATGTGCTTTTCGTCCGGTTTCAAAAGCTCATAATATATTGGTCCTCGAATGTCCTACCATATACACAAGATTCTCATATTCAAAGTCAAATTTCTTTTAGACTTGGAAGGGTTAGGTTTTCCGGGTTCACAATATGCCCTTGTTCTTACAATGTTTTTGTAGGTAATCCACTTTTCATCTCCAGTTATTATCCGGCTTAAGAAGAGCATGATTTTGTTTCGAGCAAGCAGATATGTGTATGACGACTTGATGATTCAAATTCTTATGACTTAATTCATGTGACACCCATCTTTAATATTTTCACACCAATCCTATCCTCCGAATATGGTTCGAAATGGTTTGGTGCGCTAAATTAAGCTTATCTGCAATCTCTGATGTTGTTAGAAAAAGATCTTGCTCCAACATGGTCTTAATTACAGCTTCGTCGATCAGAGATGGTCGCCAATAACGTGGCTTATCAGAAAGGTCAAAATCACCTGTTTCAAATTTTTTCGAACCATCTTCTGCATGGCCTATCAGAAACTGCACCTTCACCGAATACTTTCAATTAATTTCTACATGCTTCTGTAGCATTTCTACCTTGTTGAAATTCGTGTAAAATACAGTGGCGTAAATTAACTTTATCAGTAGCCAAAGATACACTATCGCTTCACACTTAAGACTAATGCGAATCAATTTTGTTTTACTTAATTTGCTACGTTAGTATGTATACATTAAGCGATTAAAATTTAGAACCGAACATGCGCCGAATAAACATGTTTTTACATGTCGAAAATTGTTGTCATAGAAACGGACAGAACTTTTCGGTAGACCTATTACTTACATGAATAGTTATGGTAAGTGTACGTTAAGGATAGACACATGCTATTTTAGACTTTTCTGTAGACCTTTTAAGACCTACAATTTTCTAGTGCATTGTTTTGATATAACTAAGTATCTATCTCTTAAGGTTTAGCTAGAGTTAGCTATGTTTTCTAAGACAACTCGGATATTATCAGTTATGGCGTTTTTCCAAGGGAATGAAAGATTTTCTGTAGTAAAAGGAGTCACTCAATGTTGACTCGAGTAATAACTAATTACTACATAACATTTTAATAAAATCAGTACAGTATTTTTGCGTGAAACGTACACAGATGTACAAACAGTTGACAGACACACAAATGAATAAACATTTCAATAAATATTGTTTTGGTGTTAGTCATTGTTTTAAAAAAATGTTTCATGTATAGATTTCGCTTTGTTACTATTCATTATATATATATATATATATATATATATATATATATATATATATATATATATATATATAAAATATCCTTTATCCTTTCCAGGGTCTCAAACGAATCCTTTTTTTACTCTAAAATAAGACATTATTACCAAATTTCATCTAAATCGGTCCAGTAGTTTCGGAGCTTATTCGGTACAAACAAACAAAAAAGTGTTTTCTCTTTATAATATTATTAGTATAGACTAGCGACTCACCCTGGCTTCGCTCGGGTTGGTCCCTGGTGTATGTATACAACTTCCCTATTTGAATCGGATATTATTAAATTATTCATTGGGTTTTTTTTCGTAGGACCCTATTTTTTTTCTAAAATAAAAGTAGCCTAAGTTACTTCTTATTAAATCAGCTATCTGCCAGTAAAAGTCCCGTCAAAACCGTTCCAGTCATTTTAGAGATAGGCCAGAACAAACAGACAAACAAAAATTGTAAAAAATGTTGTTTTTGTACCGTGTATACATTCATATGCATTTAGTAAAAAGAAGAACAGTTAGTAGAATGAGCAGACACTTCAATTTTATTTACCTGTTTAGTGGTTATACCACTCCTATATATTATAATTATACTCATTATTATTACACACATTATTATAATGAATGTCAGGTTAAGACATGTTCTAAGTGCCAATTTTTATCCAGGACCTATACAATATTTTACCTTAATAGTCTAAGGGCTAGTGAAATAAAACAAATAATTTCGATTTCAATGATTTATTAACAAAAATTATCAATTCTATATAATTATAATCTTCATTACACTAATTACATTATACCTACTTACAAAAAAAAAGGATTTTATTCAAAAAAAAAATGAAATTAAATTCAATGGACGACAAATTAATACTTAATAAAATGTATAAAACACACGTAATCTAGAACATTCTAGCTCTATATTAACCCTAACACGAAATTGTTGCTATGTGAAAAATTTAAAGCGTTTTTAGAATCAATGTTTCCTTCAATATTATATAATATGATAAAAATACTTTGAGCCATCATTAAAATAACTAAATATTGATTGCGATTTACTCTATTCATTTTAAAAGAAAATATTTTACATTGACCGGTATCGAACCCACACCAACCAGTTAATGTTTGGCTAAATTCATTCATAACCGACTGATGTAATAGTAATCTCTACATGGCAGAAGTGGCTCAAATCAAAATATGGCATTTATCGGTGGTTTCCATCTATTGTCATGGTTGTAGAAAAGAAAAATATAATAAACACAAAAGTGGATAAAGTCATCGTAAATTTCATAACAACTAAGGTCTTATTTTCATCGGCCGCACCTCGGACTATAACTACAAAAACTCCACCTTTGCAAAAGCAAAATAAACAATTACCATATAAAATTCACATAGTTTTGGTTTTTGATTTATTTATATTCGCTATTATTGCTTGAGCCGAAGTCAAAAAACTAAGAAATCTAAACCCCCCAACTTATAGGGGTTAATAATAAAATAAAAAACAAAAATATCTCTTTACTTTTATTGTATGTATATATTAAAACTTAACCTAGCACGTTTTAAAATTGAACCACCTTTGTGTTTCCCTTAAATATTATATACTCCAGGAGACGACCAAATAATTTGACATAAAAGCTACCGTCTGCTGGACTATATTAAAGGTCGAATCAATTTTAAACTTCATATTTAAAAGGCAATAGGACATGCTATAAATCAAGTATAAAAAAAAAACAAATTCACTTTTTATAAAAATAGATGTTTTTGTCAATTTTTATATAAACCTTAACCAGATTACAAAAAAGGAGGAACATGTTTTAAATTGTCAATCCATAGCAAGTCCCTACATTTACAAGTCACATGATAAAACTTAGCTAGAACGATAGTCGCAGTTTAAAATTTCATACCGCGGTGGGTACTTTAGGGGAATTGTTTTGTTTAGATTTTACCATAGAGATAGAGTGGACTAAGTGTTTCTTCGCCAGCCGTCAGCTAAAAATGGCGGCAACGTGCGATAGAGACAAAACGAATGTGCGGCCAGAAGTCTTCTGTGTTAATTGAAATTCGATTAAGAAGATTGATATTTATAACCGTTTTACATTCCATTTATAAATTCAAATTGGAATAAAAGATAGGTACCTATTGGCCGCACGTTCGCTATCTCTCAATCAATTCAATCATCAATCAAGTCAATTTCATGAAAGTTTTGCTCAAGCCATTCTCTACGTCTATGGATATTACATAATATTTCATAATATGATTTTATAGACAACTTGTAGTATGCTAAAGAAATATACAATTTTTAATTTGTTTCTTATTTCTCATGTTCACAAAACATTTCATGATGGATTGAAGGCTGAATGATTCAAACTAAACTGTCAATTTAGCCATCATCAATGATTTTATACTAACCCTTAAAATAAAGAGAACACAAATGTATAATAATAATATAATTAAAATATATTATCATCATAATATGTTGATTTAAATTTTTAATGTTTTTTTAAGTAACTTTATCTAAAAAAAAACAATTTACTCATAAAAAAGGTGAAATATCAGAACCAGTAAGCCAATCCTGTGCTTTTATTTTGTGAACACATCTCATATTATAATATTTTTTTAAATATTTATTTCCTTAAAAACATTTCTCCCCAGCATTATTCTATTCAATATAAAAAACGTCTTATAACAATTATTATGTTACCATTGAAATGCAAAATTGGTTAATTAATTATTTAGCCAGTTTTAAAAAACACTACAAAGGAAAATCTGCATATGAAAGTTATTCCTAACATATAAAAAAAGTGTGACAATCCAACATACATATGTATCTACATAAATACATACATATTATACTAAGTTCAAACCGGTAATATTTCGACTGTAACATAAAGTCAATAAACAATCAATTTTGCATTTCAATATAGTAACAATATCAAAATGTAACGTTTCAACAAGAGTATAGTACGATTTGTACCCCCGAGGCTTCAGTGGACAAAAGTCCACACTTATAATACAATATTTATAAAACATTTGTGTAGAATGTTATTAAAAACGTCTCTTTTTTATATGTATGTATATATAATAAGAATAGAGAGGGTGTCCATATTCTTACAGACTACAATTTTATGTAAAGATGCAAACAATACATATGTCTTGGTTATGTCAACACACTTTATATATAGTGGTGGTGTAAATTAAATAAATTATAATCATTTCCAGGGCCAGATTATCCATAAGACAGTGTAGGCAACTACCTAGGCCCTACGAATCGAGAAAAATATTTGAAAATGTTTCATCGAGTGAAAATTTAATTTGAAAAATTAAAAAAATAGGTGAAAATTTCATCATGAGGGCAAATACTATAGTTGGAATTATATGAAATCTACCTAATAATGTAATTACGTACATAATTGCATTGTGGTAGAAAAAAATGTATTTCAATAAGTTCGAAAACATGGTTAATTCGGCCCTGATCATTCAATAGAACTAACCATTGGCTGTTATAAGGGCTAAATAAAAAAATGAACTGGTAAACTAAAAAAAAACTCTCCGCTAGTGACATCTTTATTATTATTGTATTAAATACACTTTATCCAACTTTATATAATTATCTAAAGAAACCTATTAATTTACTTTTCAAATGTAACCCTGACATAACCAATACCAAAACGAAAAATTACTTTGAACACATTCAAAATCCTTCGATGAGCATTTACTATGACATAATAAACATTCTCCACAAATGCTACACACATACAAAATTACATACCTACATACATACATATGTACTTACATGAGCACACACCTCTTCGCGTCGCGTTCGGCCGCGGTGCCCGCGGGGCCCCCGTGGGGGGGCGTGAGGGTCACGTGGGGGACCGTGAGGGGCATGGGGGGCTTGATGGCTTCGGGGTCGAAGGGGTCGGGGCCGGCCACGGGGGCCGTCAGGGGCAGGTCTGTGTTGATACCTACGATCTGTGGATAAACATTTCATTATACATATAATATTACGAGCAACCCTAGGTACGTTTTAATTTTTTGAGCAGAACCCAATGTCCCATCAAAATCGGTCCAGCTGTTTCGGAAATTAGCCGAATAACAGTCAAACAGACAAATTTTTTAAAAATTGTATTTTTTCTATAAATACCGTATATAATTTCATATGAATTTAGTAAAAAGCGGTTATTTTAATATTATAAACGACTGGATGGATTGATGTTTGTTACTCAATTGCACCTGAACGACTGAATGGATCTGGATGAAATTTGGTACAGAAATAGATTATAGCCTGGAATAACACATAGGTTACTTTTCATCCCGGAAAATTGTACGGTTCCCGTGGGATAGATTTAATTATGTTTTTCAAACATATTATTATCCTATATATTATTTTTAACTAGCTCTTGTGTATATTTTACAACCAACAAATATATAAAGTTCTTATCTTCGTATCGTCTTCTATTGAACCGTTTATGACGAAACTTTTCAACTGTTCCAACAGAAATTCTTAATTCACTTTATCATTTGAGGTTTTCACAATTACTCATGAGGTTACAGTAAGGTCAAGAAAGGATATCGCACACCTAGATAAAGATTAGCACAACTCCCAAAGGTCTAGGTTTGCGATATGCTTCAACAAACAAATTCGATTAAGACATTCGAATAAACAAAAAATTCTGGACTCCTCCTCCCCACACCTCCCCCAACTCCCCACTCACCTCCGCATTCCTCCTCGCCACTAGCGGCGTGGAGGCGGCGCGGAAGGGGCGCGCGAGGCGGTCCAGCAGCCGGGCGCGCTTGCCTCCCCGCCTCTCCTCCGCCTCCACCCCCACCTCTACCTCTGCCTCCCTCTCCGCCTCCGCCTCTCGGTCCGCCTCCGCCTCGTCCGCGTCGGGCTTGCGCTTGCGTCCCACCACTGTGCCTGTCGGCCGGCTGTGTTGTTCGGACACTGGAATCATAATATTTGTATATTAATCTTGCTGCTATTATTATTATTATGAACACAAAGTATTACATTTAATAATGTCCTTCTGACCGATTTCGGCCACGGCGACCGATTTCGTTGAGACTAGCCAGATAGAGAGAGCGCAGGAGATATATAGTACAGACACAAGTGCACTCTCTATTCCTGTCACTCTCATGCTCCGGTGGGACGACGCGAGACACTTATGGTGAGTGTTAAGGCGCAGGCACGGGGGTAAAACACCGCCGACTTCCCAACTCCAGGGTGTTACTGAAACTTTCTTAACAAAAAGACTTAATAACTAAACATGGCTCTACTCGGGACTCGAACCCAGGACCTCCGGATGTGCAGCCGTACATACTAGTCACTATATCACCGTGACAATAACTATGTACATAATATATTGTATTCGGTACCGCTCGTATTGAATTGTCGTTTGTTCCCTTGTGTCTGCACTATAATATCGTGGACTGTACTGATTTCAAAAATACAAAAAATTTAAATATTTTATACAATTTCAAAGAGTTTTATAATAAAATATTAATTATGAGACCTTGATATGCCATACTTTTTACCTGCAGAAAATCCTAAGGCAATCCTCTAAGGATGTAACAATTACTTGTATAAAACCGTTTTTTTTGGTAAATATACCAATAGTGTATCAAAAACTGACACAAAACTCACCCTTACCACTGGTAGTAGTGGGTCGAGTAATCCAATTAACACCGAAGTTTCTTTTCATCTCCTTCAGAGGCTTATAAGATCTTCGTCCTCGGATGCTGCGTAGGCCGCTCAGGTAGGGGCTTTCTGGGGTCTCCTCCGTCATGAAAGATGACGACTCTGTTATATCCATTTCCATTGTTGTGTTATTGCCTGAGAATGTAGATTAGATTTTATCATATTAACTATGCATATTAATTTGAGATCCATATGTAAAAATGGATGTACCAAAATTGCAAAAATTACAGTATAAATCTATCTTCTACGGAGTAATCAAAACAATGCCTTGAATTTTTACATACAGAAGATATAACCAGAGACAAACATAGCATACTTTTCACGCAGCAAATATCACTTCTCAAAATGTACTTAAGTGTCTTCTAGCCACTAAAACATACTCAATACTAGCGACCTACCGTTACTGCGCTCGCGACCATCCTTAGATCCCTTACTAGTAGCCTATTGTTATTCCAGGTAATAGTCTATCTGTGAACTAATCATTAAAATCCTTGCCGTTTCAACAGAAACTGTAAAAGAATAACACACACACACACAAACACACACGCACGCACACTTACATACATGCACGCACACACACACAAACACAAGTTTAGAATATAAGAATAACACACCCACCTGTATAATTAGCCACGAGCGACACGTCGACGTCGGCGACGCGAGCGCTGCGCCTGTACGGCGACACTTTGACCCGCGACTTCGAGAAGTTCGTGTCCGCCTTCACGCGTGTCTCGTCTGAGAAGGGGGATCGTCACACTACACTTATCGTCGTGCCGCTCTCGATGTAATCGATAGCGAATATTTACTTCAATCATATTAATATAACGTGCTGTCATTTAAATAAACTTCTATTGTTCGGAAGACGTTAAGTGCGAATTAAAATCTGGCTTTCAGCCGCCAACAGATTCGGTCTAATGCCATTTAACCCTAGTTTAGTCTAGACCTTTTTTTTTTTTTTTTTTTTTTTTTTTTTTTTTTTTTTTTTTTTTTTATACGTCAGGAAACCCTGTTGCCGGGTACCCTCCGCCTGGGGAAAAACGACGGGTTATGTGGGGCTCCTGCCGCGCCAAGATGGTAAACGCGCGGCAGCCTACCCACTAAAACCTGACGGTGTCCACCTTACTCGCCTTAGGGTCGGGGTCACGGGAACCAAGAAATCATCCGCGACCCCGACGGCGATTGCCCAACGGCACGACTCGGTGTCGGAGGGTGGAAGCAATACCCTCTACGACCCTTCTGGAGTGGCGCGCGGCGGACACCGCGCGCGCCTACTCGGGCCAGGCTGTTAGGCGGCAGACTTCCCCAAGTCTACCGCCCTCTGGCCGGTGTTAGGGGGGGAGGCGGCGATCGTGGGCCGCTCTCCGGCGCCCGGTCCTCTTGCGGCGGATGGCGAGATCGGAAGTCGCCTCCCTTTCTCTCTCCGCCGCCTCCTTCTGCGACATCACGTCCTCGCAGAAGGACAGGACGGCAGCCCATGACCTTTCGTCACCGACCATGGCAGAAATCACGGCCGGCAACGTCAGGTCAGCCCCCACAACACTGCGAAGCGCCTCGCGCTCCAACTCCCAAGCTGGACACTCTGCCAGCACATGCTGGGCGGACTCGTCGACGCAGTCGTGGCAGTGGTGGCAGCGTGGATCCGGCTCTCTTCCGGCGACGCGGCACAGGTATCCGCCGAAGCACCCGTGCCCCGTGAGGACCTGCGTCAGCCGAAAAGTGAGGACACCGTGACGCCTCGCCAACCACTGCCTGAGGACAGGGCGAACGGCATCGATGGTCCTACGTCCAGCCGAAGGGTGCTCCAATCTACTGAGCCACCCTTCCAATGCGGCATCCCGCTCCTCGCTCTCGTGCGTGTCTGGACTGAGGTTCCTGGACGCATGGTCTCGACGCCGACGGTAGATCGACGCCAAGGAAAGCGCATCCAGGTCCCAGGGTAATACTCCAGCCAGCACGCACGCTGCTTCGCCCGAGATGGTCCGGTACCCTCGCACGATTCTTGTCGCCATTACTCTTTGCGACTGCCGCAAGACAGCCACATTTTCGCGGCAGAGAGCGTCTGCCCATACCGGGGCACCGTAGAGCGCCATGGACCTTAAGACTTCCAGGTAGAGGCGCCTACTAGAGCAGTTCGGCCCGCTTATATTCGGCAGCAGTCTGCTAAGTGCGCCCGCCGTCTTCATCAATTTTGGCGCGAGAGCCTTAAAATGTGCCTTGAAATTCCACCGGCTGTCGAGCACGAGTCCAAGGTACTTCATCGTACTTGACAGGCCGATGTGGACTCCGCCCACCACAATATGTGTGTCTGGTGGTGGTGCTCTTCGAGCGCCGCGAAAGCAGAGTGCCTTCGACTTCTCTAGAGCAACCTCTAGCCCTAACCTCCTTATTTTTCCGACAACGTGGGCCACTCCCGCCGTTGCTATTATCGCCGCCTCATTATAATTCTTTGCCCGCGCCAGGACCAGCGTGTCGTCGGCGTAGCAAACTACGCTGACTCCCCGCAGTGTGCTACTCCGCAGTACCCAGTCGTAACCGATGTTCCACAGGAGGGGCCCGAGAACCGAACCCTGTGGAACACCGCACAACACTTCTCTTCTCCCCCAGCCGTTCCGCTCAGGGAAGACCACAGACCTATCGGACAGGTACGCCCCGATAACGCGTCGCAGGTAGGTTGGCACCCCGTAGTAATGGAGCGCCTCCCTGATGCAAGCCCAGGGCAGAGAGTTAAAGGCGTTTGCGATGTCCAGAGGACAACCGCAAAAACTACTTCCCCCTGGGAGACCGCATCCTGCGCGCGGGACTTGACCCGCAGAATGGCATCCACGGTTGAGCGACCACCGCGGAAGCCAAACTGCGCGTCTGATAGGTCCGGACCGACCTCCGTCATGTGCTTAGTCAGGCGTTCGACTACAATGCGCTCAAATAGCTTGGCCATCTTGTTAAGTAGCACTATGGGACGGTAGGCGGAGGGAGACTCCGCTGGACGCCCTTTCTTTCTGAGGAGGACTAGCCTGCCTGTCTTCCACCTCTGTGGAATTATGGCTTGAGCCAGACAGGCAGTGAATAGTCCCTTCACACAAGGCGCTAAAGCGTCCATCATCAGTGCTACCGCGCGGCCCGGCACTCCGTCCGGCCCCGGGGTAACAGACTTTCCCCGCAGGCGCACGACCGCAGCTGCCATCTCTTCCTCGTCAACCTCCGGCACGTGATCCACGTCTTCGAGCAGCGCGCGTGGACCAATCTGCGGCGGCATGAAGTCCCGACGTGGAAATAGGATCTCCAGAACATTGTGCAGTTTTTCGCTGTCAAGTGTTTCCGTGATTGGAGGGGCCCAGGGGCGAAGCTTATTCATTACCATCCTGTACGGTGTGCCCCATGGATCTCTGTCGAGCCCCTCCAGCATTTCGGCCCTCCCCTCGGCTATAGCCCTGGCGATCTGGGCTTGTAAGCGGGTTTTTGCCTCCATATAATTGGCGTATCTAGCGTCCTCCTCTGCAATATCTCGGCGCGCTCTCCTACGGCAGTGGGAGTAGAGACGTCTGGCAGCGACACAGTCTTCACGCAATTGCGCGATTTCTGCCGTCCACCACCAGACTTGCTGCCTTTGGGGGCGACGCCCAGACCGAGGCATCGCAGCGTCGCATATGCGCTTGGCTAGGTCCTCTATGCGTTTTGCTGCCTCTTCTGGGGATGTTGTTTGTTGAGGCAGCCAGGAGGCTACCGTCGCCGCCTCCTTGAGTACCTCTGGGTTGAGGCGCTTCAGCTGCCACCTCGGACCCTCCTCCCTCAGGGTTCGGCTAGGGCTTGGCGGCACCGCCGGATGCGTGGAGACCTCGTATCGAATGTAGAGATGGTCCGACAAGGTCTCCACATCGTCCAGCACTCGCCAGCCGTGAACACGGCTCGCTAAGGCAGGGTTCGCGAACGTTACGTCCACTATGGACCCGCCCTGCCGTCGCACGCACGTGTTGACCGTTCCCTGGTTTAATACTGTCAGGCCGGTGGCAACAACCCACTCTTCTAATAGTCGCCCGCGAGCGTCACTTCTTGGGCAACCCCATGTTCCCGATTTTGCGTTTAAATCGCCTGCCACTAGCACGTAGCGGTGCCTACCCCGGGATATTATTTCCCCCAGACCATCGAGGAAATTCTCAAACTCGGCAAGGGTTTTGTTGGGGGAGAAGTAAACACCTACTACTAACGTTTCGCCTAGCATGGCCGCCACGAAACCGGACCCTCTAATCACCCGTGTGAGAGACAGTGCGCCTTCATCTACCTGGGTGACAAGTGCCACCAACCCTTCACTGTCGCCGACCCAATTGTCCCTAGATGGGATATAGTAGGGCTCCGACAGTATCGCCAGCTTCACGGACCACTGCACCATGCTTTGGACTAAGAGGTCCTGAGCCCTGGCACAGTGGTTCAGGTTCGCTTGTAGCACTTGTATCGCCATTTTTATTGATGATCTATCTCCTCCACGGGCGGCCTGATCACCCTAGCCGCGGGACGACAGCGAGACGGAGCCCGGGTGCAGGCTGCGCTACCAACAATGTGGTTGGCTGGCCTGTTTGCCCTCTCGCAGACCGGGCAGTGTGGCGGAGCAGAGCATTGCCCGCGTTTGTGTCCTGGGAGTCCACATCGGTAACACTGACTACTGCGATCGTCGCCGCCAGTGCATTTCGCCACCACGTGCCCTAATTCGTGGCATCGAAAACAGCGCTGGGGTCGGGGTTGCAGCAACCTAACCTGCGCCGACACAAATCCGACCCGTATTCTGCCCTCAGCTGCTATCTGTTTGGCAGCCACCATAGGACATTTGACCCAGGCTGACCCAAGACCGAACCGATTACGGCGTATCTCACCTACCTTGATCACATCCTTGGCACAGTTACCTAGTATGCTGACAGTTTCGGCTAGTTCTTCTGGAGTCACTGAGTCGTCTAGACCCAGCACTCGAAGTTCTGAGCACTTCACTGGTCGGTAGATGAGCACGTCCTCACCGGCCAGGATATTGTTCAACTGCTGCGCAAGGGCATCAGCCTTGTCGTCATTATTGGTCCCAGGTAGCTCCAGCATTCTGGCACCTGTCGCCGCCACCTTATATCTGATGTCTTTGATTCCCAGGTCTTTGAGGTCTATCTTTTGCTTGACTTGGGCGAAAACCTCTCCATATGTCACCTTCCGTTCAATCGCTGGGGGTTGGAGCCTAATCACGACTGCAGCGGAACGAGGTGGGCGCAGCTTGGATGTTTTCTGTTCGCCCGGTGGCATCTTCTTCTTCAATTTCTTCGTGGCCTTCTTCTTGGCCCCCCGCTTGACCACCAGATTCCACCCGTCTGTGCTGGAGATGGGAACAGATGGAGGTGGTCGGACGTCCTTCGGAGCAACCGATTGCGCTGCTTTAGGGGACGCTTTCTTCTTTTTCTCTTCTCTCTTCTTCTTTACCTTCAGGCCAGGGTTTGCCGGAGCCATCAGGGTAGTGGTAGTGGCTCCTGACCCACTAGCAACCGCATCCGCGGGCAACGACGATGGGACTCGTTGCGCTGGTAACAGCTTAGCCTCCATGGCCTCGAAACGTGCGCTCACCAAGGTGCCCACCTGCGCCATTATGGAACGCACCAATTCTTCGGCGTTCAGCGGCACGGTCCCTGACGCTGGGTTAGCCGCATCCCGTCCCTGGGAAACCGCCAGTGGCATGTTAGCGTGGGACCCGAGCTCCGCCATGCCCGTAATCATCCCCAGATTCACGGGAAGTGATTGCGGCGGTGGTGCTGTTCGGGCTCGATCCAGCTCCATCTTCATCGCAGCCACTTCTTTCCTAAGTTCAGCCATCTCCTTCTGAAGCTTGGTGTTAACCGACTGAAGTTGGGCTGTTTCCTCAGTCGTCGTGCGCCGTGCCAGTTTGTCCACAGCACCAGCTATTACACTAGCCGCGTCCTTCAGGGCTTTTACAAAGCCTCCCTTTAGGTTGCCCGACTTTTTGGCGACCATCTCTATGACCTCCAGGCTACTTTGCACTCTTCCCTGGAGCTCCGTCACTAATTCCGCCTCCTGAAGCTCTTCCGTCGCGTTCTTGAGCACACCTGTTGGACGTGGGCTGGCTCTATTTCTAAGTGCCGCCGCCCTTTCCGCCACTTCCTTTTGGGCCTTGAGCCTAAGCTCCTCCCTTCTGGCCTCATTGAGGGCTCGCTGGGCTTCGGCTAGTCCCACATATTGGCCAGTTGTTGGTGGCCGACCTCTCACGCGATTAATTGCTACCTTTGCATGGGGCCCCTTTTCCTCCTCCGGCGACCCAGACTGGCTCCGGCAACCTTGGGCTACAGCAACTTTAGATGGCATGCTGCCTACACCCTTCGCAAGCCTTGTTCGAACTCCGCCCGTCGCAGGCCTTTCCTTCGCTCCACCCTTCTCGGGTAACTCCTCACCTCCGCCCTTCACGGGCCCAGCAAAAACTCCGCCCTTCTCGGGCTCCGCCCCGACATCACCAAAGCAGTAGTTGCCCCCCCCAGAATTCGTGGGGCAGCACGCCGTAGCGTGAAGGGATTCCCGATGGATATGCACATCGGTACCCTCCTGGGGTAGTCTCTCTTTGCTAGCTGCTTTCATGATGGTGTTTTGCTGATCCACAGCTTCGGCTTTGTTTAGGGTGTGCTCCCCTAGGCCGTGGGGTTAACAAACCCCTAAAGGCACGGCCATGCCTGCTGGTTTTGGTCCGCGCCGGTTGAACCGGTACCACCAATGTGGTGGCATTCCCCTATCCGCCACCCGGGGGACGCGCCCAGTAGCAGTCCAGCAACTGCCCTGAGAGTTTAGTCTAGACCTACACAGACCCTTTAGTTGAAGACCAATAAGACCCTTTAGTTGAAAGTACAAGAAATGGTCTGGCGTAAAATATAAGGGACGATAAATGTTAAGACACAGGACGCCAAATTTTAAAATACGTCATTACGCCTGGCATTTGCGTGGCATTTGCCACTTTCGTACAAGTAAATTTTTGTATCCTTATCAATTGTTCGTTCGTTACCGAATTAATACATAATATGCGAATAAATAATTGACGTTATATTGCAATATGTATGCTTAGATAAATTGTCAACGAATTTTTCCTATTATTAACTATTTAAAAAAATAAATAATAAAAAAACTATTATAACGAGACATTAACTATGAACTTGTAAAATATTTCTTTTGAAGTGAATTAAATTGTATGACAGCACGTTATATCATGAAGAATTTGAAAAGTTTTATGATTCAGTCAATTTATGTACAATTTACATACATACAGACTGACTCATATCTATCAGCACAAAAACGATTATTAAACATATTTTTATGTTACAGTACAAGTAGATGCAAACCAATTCTATGTCAAAAAAAATTAATATAATCTTGTACAGTGTCTGTAAAGTCATTTTTATGCTCATTTATATCTCATATGAAAAAATATCATATCTATTTGTATATATATTATATTATATCTGTTTGTACATATAATAATTCATAATTAAATCGATAGAAAGGTAAAAAAATTAAATTTTATTTCCTCAGTTACCAAAGAGAACAAATAACTTAAGGAAGAACTATTCCTTGTATTATATAAACGGAATCCGCCAAAATTAATGTCAAAGTGAAAAGTAGTAGAGTCATTTGCCGTTTATGTTACTATTCTCGATTTTGCCATACAGATTGTTTATTTCTTTCAATAATAAAGATATAAAGCTGTTAGTTAAATTAATCTTTTGTATTTTTAAGCATCAGTCCTCTTGTTCAAATTGTAACTTGTATATTACTATTTTAAAACCATTAGTTTGGCTTCATGTATGTATACCTATAGTATTCCTTAGTCTGAGATTAAGCCTTATGGCTTACACGATAGTATTTCCAAAGAAAACAGCTAATTCAAACATAAGACGTACCAATACAAAAAATAGTTAATGAAAAAAAAGTGTAAATTTACATAAGAAACAACACCCCACAAAATTTGCACAAGTGAGGCTTCTCACTGTATCGGATCTCATTAGCATCATTTATTTCATTATGGCACATGTCTCAATACAAATAGTACAACGTTACAGTGAAGTTATTAACCTAGACATTGTGTATAATATCTGGCCTACTATTTACTCTATACCGATTTTAGAACTTTATATCTAGTAAGATTCCCATGGAGAGATCGGTTCAAACAAGCAGAAATCGAATCTGGACGACCAAATATTTTTTCTAATGGCGAAGATAATATAATTACTGCTTATGTCCATATCTGCTTTAAACTCAATACTTTTTCCTTTTATATGTTGGGACATTAACACACAACACCATCTAGTTCCATGGTAAGCTACGTGGTTTGTGTTATGGATACCAGATAGTTGATACACTACACATACCTAAATAACTTCGTGCTCATCACACAAATGAATGCTCCCAGCGGGACTCGAAATCGCGACCGTTGGCATTGCAAGTAAGTTCAATACAAACTAAGCTAAGCGTTTCGTTGATGTATTTATTAATATTAATGTACTCACCTTCATTTTCAACTTCAACAACGACTTCAATTTCGACTTCATTCTTCTGTCTTTCATTTGCATCCTTCTCGCTCTCTTCCTTCTGCTCTTCTTGTACTGCTTTCAAAGTATCTTTTTTTGGAGATTCGGATTTTTTGTCCTGGACTTTTTCAATTTTTTTGTCTTGCGGTTTGGGAGAGTCGGCCGAACGTAGTTTGCGATCGGACGACGGCGTATCGTCTTTCATTTTCAGTAGTTTTGACTAAAATTTTAATTATCATATAAAATAAATAATAATACATGCGTAATAAAATTTGTTAAAAACTTATATTTTTATTACTCTTAGAACAAGAGAAAATAAACCAAAAATGTTAGAAAAAAAAATCAAGCGAAGAAAAGACTCGAAAGATATATGAAGCTATATGCAGTGAGATTGTAGCAAAAAAAATATATTATACTTTTGTACCATAAACGTTATCTATACTAATATTATAAAGAGGAAAGATTTCATATTTTGTTTGTTTGTACTGAATAGGCTCCGAAACTACTGAACCGATTTAGATGAAATTTGGTAAGAAGATAGTTAGAGACCCTGGGAAGGACATAATGTAAACACTAATGTATAAAGAGTATATTCTATAATATTAACTAGCTTTTCCCACGATTCCGACCGTAAAACTTAAACTTTCTGGTACACTTGAAAAAATCATCTGTATATAAATTTGTTATAGGCTAAAGACTAACTAAAATAACTCTTTCAATTATGTAAAAAGCATTTTTATTTACGTACAATGTTGTCATTTCAGCGTAATAAACGCTTGAGTACATAATATTGGTTAAAAACTGTTCCTGACTAAGTTTCATTGATGAAATTCGTTAAAACAGTAGTAGCCATTGTAACGTCCCAACATCCAGCACTTAGTTCCATCATATCATTATCAGATTAGCTTAGTAGCAAATTATTATCACACAGCGCACAGCGCCATCTAGTTCCATAGTAAGCTACGAGGCTTGTGTTATGGATACCAGATAGTTGATACACTACACATATATAACTTTAAATACATACATATTATAAATATAACACCCATGACTGGAGTACAAACATTCGTGCTCATCACACAAACGAATGTCCCCAGCAGGACTCGAACATGCGATCGCTGGCACAGCAAGTAAGGTCACTACCAACTGAGCCAAACGTGTCGTCAGATTTATTTATTTAATTCAAATTATTATCATCCGGATTTCCATACGAAGTTCAAAAACAATACACATTTGCTAAAATCTACCCCCAAGATTTGGTAGCAATATATGGTTAAATGAAATATTTTTTGTAAATAAAAGCGTATTAATCAATAAAAAAATAATTCAGCTCTTTTAACGTCCCACTGCTGGGCACGGGCCTCCCTTCAGTACGAGGGGTATCAGGCTATAGCCCACCACGCTGGCCAAGTGCGGGTTGGTGGATTCACATGTCTTTCGAAGATCAGTGGTATACTCTCGCTCGCGTGGATAACCAAATAAAGCTGCAAATAAAGCGGCCACGCCCAGCAGTGGGATATTAACGTCTGAATACAACAAGCCAACGTAGAGTGCACTCACATCATCCGGTACATAATCTCGATCTCGTTTATCCGAGGCCGGTCGAGGAGTCTCCGGCGTGCGTGTCGCCTTCACCTGCCCACACAGTTAGTACTCACACCAAACCACAGTGTAATCCCATAGACATTAGAGAGCGGACTGAGTGTTTCTTTGTCTGCCATAAGTTAAAAATGGCGGCTAGACGCGACAGAGACAAAACAAATGTGCGGCCAGAAGTCTTCCGTGTTAATTGAAATGCGATTGATGAAAATAGATATTTATAGCCATTTTTTTTCTATCATTCATTCAAATTAGAATAACAGACAGACAGATACCTTATTGGCCGCACGTTCGCTTTCTCTCTTTCTATAGAATGGTCAATTTCATGAGGGTATTGCTCAGTCAATTCTACGTCAGTCTACGTCATGACTAGGCGTCTAACGAAGGTGTCAAGACATGGCAGTCGTGCGCGGGGAGCGCTCCCGACTGCCATACTTTCTTTTATATGTTAGTCGCGTAACGGCTTTAGGGTTGACGATATAGTTGTAACTTGATGAGGTGGTATTAAAGCGTTTTAACTTCAAAACAATTCACCATGAAAATTGGTATTTTTGACAACCATTGTCTTTGACATTTTCGTTAGTTAATGGACGACCGCGCACTGTATGGATTTTTATACTGTGACGCCACGTTACATGTATATTTGTGGGCCATTCGCAACATACGTCACGTTTATTAATTTATTTTCTTTTCAAGTTTTTTTGGTGTTGCTTAACTTTGCGCTGACTAGAAACTACCCCTCACTACTTAGCAGATGCTAAACGATTCATGACACAATATAGATAAATAGTTATAAATAATTAAAAAAATATATAATCATGAATGAATCTATATATAACTTTTTTTATCCGCTCTTGAGGTAGATGAGTCGCAAAAAGTAGCATATTTATTATCTTATATAACGATCACTTTTTAATCTACTACACCCAGCAAAATCGAATACCGCTACACCGAATTCAAAACAAATGTTTTTTTTTTTAAATTATACAAATTATTAATTTAAAAAATAGAATAAAACTAAAACTCAGCCCCAACCTCTCCTATACCACATCGTCATGCTAAAAAACACCCTTCCTTCCCCCTGACTATGAACGTACTTCTTGAATGGCCTTTATATATTACAAGTACATATAATGGAAATTTGAGATTTTACTATTTTTTTAAGGATTTTTTTTAATTGCACAAGCGTTTTTTCATAACTTTAACTTATATGCGTATTCTCTTAACTATCTATACATATAATAAAATCCCCTGACTATGAACGTACTTCATGAATGGCCTTTATATATTACAAGTACATATAATGGAAATTTGAGATTTTACTATTTTTTGAAGATTTTTTTTAATTGCACAAGCGTTTTTTCATAACTTTAACTTATGCGTATTCTCTTAACTATCTATACATATAATAAAATTCTGAGTCGAATCTGTACATTAAATATTTTATGGAAAATCTTATTGAAATCATTACTATCGATACAGAGGCCGAATCTATAGTTTTAAGAATTTTTGTCTGTCTGTGTGTCTGGGAACGTATCACGAGAAAACCACTGAAAAGATTTTGATGGAATTTGGTATGATGATAGCTGGTTATCCGGGTCACTACATAGCATCCTTTTTACTGCGGGAAACTATCTCGTCGTTAATTTATATTATTCAAAGTTATTATTATTATTCAAAAAAAAACTCCTTTTTGAATTATACAAAATTTCAACCTACAACTTTGACCATATGCAATACTATTTAAAGATAGTCATTCATTGTATGTAAATCTCAAATCTGCCATTATACATTTTTTTAGTATGACGGACATAAAAAAATGTTTCATTCACAAAACGAAAAACATTACGCAAAAATTATAATCCAATAGAACAAACAAAATAATTATAAAAATTAAATTATAAAATATCGATTATACCCATACATACTAAAATCTATTATATATTCGCACAATGATTTTCGTTTTGTGTAATATTAATCGTGGGACAAATTCACAAATCTCAATACAAAGTTGTTAGTCACAGTTTTATAAATAATAATTGACTTACAAAAACATAATAACAATAATAATATTTTTTATTGGGAATAATCAGAATAATTACATAAGAGAAATAAAAAAAAATATTAATACTCACAACGCAGTTCGTGACCGATCACCATAAAGCGTCTTAAAATAACCCATAAACAAACAAACTAAAGTCACTTACCGTTACTTGTAATAGCAATCACTCAGACTCAGTGAGTTTTTGAAGAAGTTGTATATTATGTAAGCGAGAGGCAAAGAGGAATATCTACGTCAATATATACATTTATTTTTAACAGAGTTGCTATTAGAACAAAAGACTTAAATTCAGTTTTGTATATTAAACTGTATTTCATGAATAATTTTTAATTTTACATAACGAAAGTAAAAAAAGGATTTCAAAGAAAAATAACACTTTCAATTCAAATTCAAAAATCAACCCCCTATGCCTCTCAAATATAATAGAAAACATAAAAAATCAATTAGTCAAACCATCGAAAACACCAACAAAACCTCGAACCTCGAAGCCTTTATTTATCTACCCCGGTCCGACGAGAAGACCAGGAGAAGACCACCTGATAAAGAGCACGGGAAGACCTGATACACACCTGAGACCGCCTGGTGTAGCTACGGCTAGGTAGCCCTTCAGGAGTTGGGGGTTCGAAGTATTCCCCATCAGAGTCCTCATAGGCGAGCTCCGGAAACATCTCGTCTCTCTCAACGTCGGACTGGAGGTCTTCGTCCGAACTCACCGTGTCGCCATTTTGTTCCCCGTTTGTCACCTTCGCCCCGTTTTCGCGCGCTTTTTGCTCTGGCTTCTTCTGTTTGTCGTCTGGTAGTTCCGCCTGGAAATTAGATTTAAATTTTATAATGGTTGTAAATATTGACATAAACATTGTTGTTAGTATTTAGCTTTATTCCAACCTATTTTTAGATAAAATTCTCAAATTAATACTGACAAATTTGACTAGTTGCTTTCAAATATTTCGGTATAATTTCCGGATTTTTTATTCAAGCAATCAAATATATGGCGATTTTTTTGTTAAATGAAAAATCATGTTTTGGCCAATAAAGTACAAGTCAATGTTTTACTTTTAAGGAAATTAAAACAACGAAAAATATAAATAATAAATATGCTACTTTTACAGATAAAAATGCAATATATATTACAAACAACTAACCTTTCCACCTTTCTCTTTATTATTGTCATTGCTTTTCTCTGGTTGAGCTACTTCTTTCTTCTCAGCAGGCTTTTCTTTCTTTTCTGCGGGTTTATCTTCTTTAGTCTCTTTTTTGTCAGACGATTCTTTCTTGTCACTTTTCTCTACCTTGTCTTTCTTTTCTCCACTTTTGTCTGCACTCTTCTCTTGTTTGTCTTTTTTGTCAGCAGGTTTTTCGACAGGTTTATCTGTATTTTCTTTGGCTTTTTCGTGTTTTTTCTCACTTTGAACAGGTTTTTCAGCATTTTTTTCGGCAGCTTGCTTTTCTTTCTCCGCATTGGCAGCTATTTTCTTTTTCATTTCTTTTACCGGGCTGTCCGTTTGTCGCTAATAACATACTCATAATTAATATTAAGGTTAAGAGCCTTTTATATAATTAAAGACGGATAGTTTTAATATATCATTACAAATTATCCACTATTTAAGAATAAAAAAAATATGTAGACAGTGTTCTAATCAAGGATTTTTTTATAAAATTGCTTTTCTTGTTGGTCTATCAACAAAACTTTAATCCAAACCATACTGAAATCTTTTCGTGATTCACAAAATATAACACACGTTACCTTTTCCTTATCCTCCTTCACCGGCCCCTTGCGCGTCACTATCTGGCTCATGATATACCTGCAAATAAATAAAAAATAGCATTAATACATAATAATATTCCATGTTGTTTAAAATATCCTAAAGAACTATAATCAAGTAAATTGCCTCAAATATATACATACATACATTGATTTACAAATACTCAATATACACAATTAGCGTATCAAGTGTCCTTAAAATGGGAGGGGGCACAATTCGAAATTGAATTACGCTTTTTTTAATATCTCTTTTGTTCATTGCTTTTCAGATGATAAAATTAAGACACACGTTTCGTTTAAAAAGTATTATTATTATGTAGAGTGCGTAAGTTCGAATTGGTGCTTAGACAATTAGAACTTTCGATTTACTCGATTTATTCGAATTGTACTAATCACTATGAATATGTATTACATACATTAAAATGGAAAAATCAAAAGCTCGTACTTGTTAAGATAAACAAGTTTATAGCAGACTTGTTCTCTGTTTCGTACCTACGTAAAGTAAACGAAGTGGTGGGCGGCGAATTGTTAATATTCATTACTATATGGACCTGAAATACTTCTTTCATGTGTTGATAAAAAGTTGTTTATTTCAATTACAAAAGTTGAAAACTTTTTAGATATACAAATATTTAGTCAAAATAAATAACATATTTAATTAATATACTTTATTTAAAAAAATAACTAAATATAATAGGAAACACATAAGCACGATATCTCTCAAAGTACATAATTTACCTATTAAACTAAAATTTTGTAGGAATGTTGTTTATAGGTATGAGATTTTGCGATAGGGTTGAATTAAGGGGGTCTAGGGCTATTGTATACATAAAGGCTTATATTAAAATTCTATGTTTATGCTGCTAGATAGCTGCAGTTTAGTATAGGTATGGGACGCGGCCCCTGGAGGCGTGTCAGTAAGCCCTGAGTTACCAAGAGCAATGGCTCAACAAAAGTTTATTTTATCAAAGTATAAAATATTTCAAATAAAGTGTAAACACAAAAACAACGTCTGACAAAGTTGTGGAAAAAGTGTTCTAGTTACTTGTGTCGGCAGTTTTACATAGAAAAACCAGCTTCTGTTGGTAGCCTTTATTTCCTATATCCTACCGATCTTGTTGGCAAAAAACCAACCGTTTCGTTCCGAATATTATTGTCAAACACTTGTTCTACGTAGATAGATCAACATTTTGTGTAGCGACAGTAAAAAAACAAACTGTCATTTAACATGCGCCTTTTTTGCTATACCCTTACATTTGACTTTTGATTCAAAGAATGTGAGATGTATTAAAACCATCCATCAAAAAGTACTAGATAAATCCCATGCAAAAGTTCTCTTAAAACTGTGACTAATTAATTGTATTTAGGTAATTATTCTAGTCGAAATAATAAAAAAATATATACAATAATGTAAATTGAACCTTAAGTGCAATGCTTAAGTTGTTTTCACAAAGAATAATAATTAAAAGCGCGCTCAAAGATCAAATGAGCGGCTAATCGACGAGGACATTTTTTGTCGCTGATTGTGTATCTAGTACTGAAGCAATTAAGCTAACAGCCTCACAGACCGCAATATGGGGTTACAAAGCTCGGTCTACACGTATTTAACTGAATCGAAAAAATAAATATGTATGTATATATTTATCTATATTACTAATATTATAAGGAGGAAAGATTTCTTGGTTTGTACCGAATAAGCTCCGAAACTACTGAACCAATATAGATGAAATTTGGTAAGATAGTTTGAGACCCTGGGAAGGCCGGAAATCACTCCTGAAGGGGGTGAAAATGAAGATGAAAGTTTGTATGGGGACGAACCCGAGCGAAGCGAGGGTGAGTCGCTAGCATATTATATAACCAATATAAAATATTTTACACCCCAATGCGGTGACACGCGTTTGTACACATTGTATTCTCATTCACTATGCAAGCTCTGAACATAAGACTTTCCAAGAGAATGCGTAGTACGGAACACTCGACTGGTATTTGAGATCTACTCAAAGACGGTGTCTCAAATGAAACTTAGCTTTGCTCAAGTCCTAGAAAGCTTTAGAAAAACATAATGCAATCCATCCATTATTTTTAATGTATAAATAAACCGATTTTCTAAAGTAAATATGTATAACAAAATTTCCGCGCTCTGTCAAATAAACATATCCAATTAAAAATCCTAAGTAGGTAAATAAATAAATATGTATAAATATGTTGGGACATTAACAAACAGCACCATCTAGTTCCATGGTAAGCTACGAGGCTTGTGTTATGGATAGGTACAGGTAGTTGATATACTACAAAAGTATGTAAATACATACCTATTATAAATATAAACACCCACGACTGGAGTACAAACATTCGTACTCGTCACACAAATGAATGCCCCCAGCGGGATTCAAACCCTCGACCGCTGGCACAGCAAGTAGGGTCATTACAAACTGAGCCAAACATGTCGTCACTAAGTGTGTATAAGTACATACTACATAATAATTTATATTTTAATTAATATTTTATTTCATAGAATTTTTATTTTCCACAAGTTATAAAATGTTTCCTCTTTATAAAAAAAGTCCAAGCCCGCAGGAAAAAAGCTCTCTTCTAATTAATCTCAACCCGACCATAACATCACGTACCTATCTATATACTTTAAAAATCAAATCCACAGACCGTATTAATTTTAGACATCAATAGCCCTTTCACTGTGATATTTTACTTTTTTTTGGGTATTTGACTTTGATTTTGAAAACATTCCTTAGTGAAAAATGCATGCTAAAAAAAGTACTAGTCATCCATAAACACAGCAAGTACAAATTTAATATTTGATTATATCTAAATTAAGAAACTTAAATAAAACAGAATAAAAGACAAAATTATTATCATACAAGTTAATTTCATCAGTTATTTATAATTCATATCATTTCCTTCATCAAAAACATAAAAAACGTGAGAACTCTATACTGTCTAACCGTTCTATAGCCTATGCTATACTCGAATAGAAGGAGGGTGAACGACCCCGAGTATGCACACTAATGGATGCTGTCTGTGGTCCAAAGAAAAATAAAAAAAAATAGTTTTTATTAAAAAGTAATTACTTTAGTAGATTAAAAACGATTTCTTTCATAAGACGTAATGCTTAGTATTTACTTTAAGGAAAGTTCGTGGAAAAAGGAATTTTACATCTCATTCATTCATTCATTTTCTAAAACTCAAAAACCCAAAACTCAAAAGAATTGTCACTATTCATGTCGTGACACCATTATCAGATCAGCTCCATGGTATACTAATGGAATACGAAGTTAGAAGTAGGCAATAGTTAATTTTCAAGATTTAATTAGGTTGTTCCATGGACGAATTAGAGACTGGACCTGACATAAAATACAAATGTATGAAAACTAGTTCAACCAAGTGACGCATAACGCACACAAAGATTTTATTACATTATTATAAACACTGATACACAATACAATATTTCTAGTGTTTGAACGTAATCGATAAAATACATATATCGATGAACCAATGAATGACATTTTAGACATTGGTTAGCATAGTCATCATATTTTACATCTTTTAATTCAAAATATCTTTATTTATTATAATAAATTAAAATAAATGAATTAAAGAGGCAATATAATAATGTGTCAAATAATAATTATTTTTTAATTTGATTTATATAAATACGATGGCATTGATGGCAACATTTTGTTGGCCTATAATAATGTTAATAAACAAACGAATATCGGGTGTATATTCCATTAATATATAATAAATATTATTTTGTAAAGATTAAAAAAATATTAAGCTAATTTAATTAAATAAAGTGATTTTGTTGATTCTGTTATTGAACTATTTTAATTGGCAATTGATTGTCTCGGGTAGTTATAAAAATGTGACACTGTCCTAATATTGCTCAGTTATTAATAAACATTTGTGAAATTAGGAAAAAGAAAAAGTGATTGCAAATTGTGAAAAAGTGAGTGTTGGATCGTGAAAGTAAAATAATTAGTGCAAGTGGTAAAGTGTTTTATTACAAATCGTCAACCCAGAAGTTTAGTGCTAAAACATTATTGTTTGATTTTGTGTAATTTATGTGTTGAAATAAAATGATCTTTATTATTATTACAATGGAAAAATATTCCAAAGTATATAAATGTAGTATAAAATAAAATAAAAAATTAAGTACACATACTAATTATAATTTTTGCATTTATATTTTTATTTGATTTAGAAAATATTTTTATAAATTTATTGTCATCAGATTGTAGGATACTGTGATAAAAGTATTTTATGTTATTGTACTGTACAAATAACACAATTCGTTCAGTTATTTCGTCAAATATCGATATATTTTTCGACATTGTCAAGCACTAGTCGATGTCAAATGGACTCACTCGACAGTTTTGTCATTTGTTCTGAATGGTATAATCCAGCCCGTTTATGATGGTTGTCAGATGTCAACAATACATAGAAATATCGACTATATTTAACATAGTTGGATAATATGACATTTTATTTTACATTTAATTAAATTTTGTGATAAATAACAATCAATGTAATAAAATAATGTATTTACAAGTGAAAAGAAATAGTGCTGCTTCCGCCGTTATAGTTTTTACACCATTTAACAGAACATTTAGTCATTTTTGGGAGATGTTTTGTTGACAAGTAAGTGCTTGAGACTGACACAAGAAACAAACGACCTAGGCTAAAATTCCCTGGTTACTGACATGGCCGTTAAAGGTACGTCCGCTTATATGTCTGGTCCAGTGGTTAATTCGTTCATGGGTTGTTCCAAGTTATATAAAACTTCGTCATTTTTTTTTATAAAACTATCTATTCAGATTTTTTCGCGGATTTATTTTGATTTTTGGTTCCCAACGTTTCGAATGCTTTACAACAATCATGGTCACGGGAGAGAATATCAGTCTAAGTATTAACATTCTTGATTATGACTGTACTAACCAATTCAATCAAGTGAATACTCTTTTTACCGACATACATTCATATATATATATATATATATAATAATGTAATGATATAAACTTTATTCAATTAGACTTATTACAAGTACTTTTGAATCGAATATTATATTATATTATAAGATGCATGATAAATACAAAAGTTTGGTAATAAGTTTTAATGTAAAAGTCATTAATCAAACTATATTCTCTCAAGGTATAGACTGGCACACAGATATTATTATATCGCTTAACGTTCCTACCATGCACCGTAGCACACAGACATACACAGTCAATATATAAGCGAGGGCCGTCATTAGTTTTATGAGCAGATGTGAGCGATCACTACTACAAGTGTAAAATTAGACTCTATTGAAACTTTAATATTTGAAGGCCAAGGAGTTTTATTTTATCATTGTACTTCTCAGACCAAAGACAATGTCAAAAAAACTGTTGGTAAATTGATACAAATAAAGAACATATAAATACAATTTTTATGGCCACGTTAGTGCAATGATACTAATCCGACTTCCAGCTTAATGGTAGCCCATTCGATGACCATACAAAGCAATAACCTATATCTTATAATATTAAATGAGCAATTGATATATTTTATTTCG